TGTTCAGGGGCGGCTGTGGAGGGCGGCGAGGGGGCGGCGGTGGAGGGCGCCGTGGATGCTGCGAGCGGGCGGCGGTGGAGGGCGACGAGGGGGAAATGAAAGGAGAAGGGAGGAAAAAGACCGCGAGAGGTTGAAAAAAAAGAGCGCGTATCGAAAATAATGGCGGGGAGATGAAATGGAGAGTCATTTTTTCCTCCCCATGAATGAGGAAGAGAAGCCTCTATTTGAGGTCATCTTAAAAATAGGACCAAGTTTGGGGAAATGTTGGAGACAATTTTTGAGAGAAAATCCCTATTTTTGAGATAAGAAAGAGGAATAGGGAGGCTCTTGGAGATGCTCTTACTATAGATGCCCTATTTTTCTTGGGTCTAAAAGTTCTTTGTTTAAATGATTGTTGTATGTTAATAAATTGGTCAAAGTGAACTATCAATCTATCATGATAGAATTAGAACATGAAAAGTCTATCTCAGTAATGTGTAAATTGTACTGCACTTAGGTGTTAACAAGTATTTTCTTGATGTACTTTAATTGAAAGTTTCTCCTTTTATACACAAATTTATCAATGAATAAGTCAATACAAGAAAATGATGAAATTTCAACGGAAATATATCCCAATGAATTATTCTAGTGAAAATTCCAATGAAATATTTCAATGTTATTATTTCCGTTGGAATATTTCAAATGACTCAATCGGAAATTCCAACAAAAATATTCCGTTGGAATGGTTTTCCATTGGAACTTTCGTTGGATTTTAACGATTCCAACGGTGAATTTTACAATGGGGTGGAAATAAAAATTTGAATTGAAATTCCTACGGTAAAAAGCCGTTGAAAATATAACTGTTGTAATCATCAAATTCCATCTAAAATTCCAATGATAAACACATTCCAACGGAATATCCGCTGAAATTTCTATTAGAATATATTACAATAGGATTTTTTTGTTGGAATATTTATTTGTAGTGAGTGATTAAGGTTTCGCTTTTGACTTATCGATAATTATACTTGCTATTTAACATAAGGTTCATTTTTAATTTTAACTATTTAAAATAGAAAAAAAAAAAAGAAATTAAGAAACAAGTAAAAAACACTTCAAGTCTCCATTGATAAGATTTGGATTGATCTCAACTGACCTTATAAATACGGCATTAACAGTTTGAAAACTTCGTTTTGATATCAAATACTGAAGACATCATCTTTTGTTTTTGATTTGGTATAGATAAAAAGAGTACATTATCACTTGAATCATAAGATTGTTACAATTATATTTGATTAGTAAACATTTTTTTTTTTTTT